TCACTGCTTTTTCGCAGTGTTATTATATTACTCATATAACTAAGAGAATTGAGTGGTGGACAATGTTTTTGTCCACCACTCAATTCTCTTAGTTAGAAAAGTACTCAAATGTGCAAGATTAATTTATTCTTATTGCTACAGCTCGCTAAGAGGCTTGTTTTCCTAAGGCAATCAAACCATTAGAATCCTCGGACTTGAGCTGTCCACTAGTTACTGAAAAGCGATGGCTTGATGCCAATGTTGTGGAATTCAACCACATACTGGTGCATGGTATGCGCGTCACATGTGGAATGGAATTCAATTACAGCGTTACAGCTCAACAAATTTTTTGGAAAACTAAAAGCACTATTAAATCTTTGAAATTTGTGCCATCTCTGAAATTTTGAAGGAAAAACTTTGCTCAGCGAAAAATGCTTGAGTGTGAAATGAAATTTTCTTTACACTATTGCAATGTTGTAATGACCTTTCAGATACAAGATACACCATTGAAACTTCTAAGATATAAGCTATCGAATGACCCCTACAATGTCTGAAAATAGTAAAATATTCTCATTTCTTTGAGTATGAGTTTTGATAGGGAAAGTACCGTATAGGGGAAGTTGATATGGGAAGTACCACTATGATGAACGCGCTCCTCCTACACCTACTCCAGCTACATAATAGAATTACCTCCACACAGACTTCTGTTAAAGGTGTCTAATTGCAAAAGATGTGCTTTCAAGCTATGTTCTTGCAAGAAAGGTGTGGAGATGCCCTAAAGTGTTGAAAATTTGCTTATTTTTCAAAAGGCTGTGGTATTAACGATAAAAATTAGAGATCTTCAAGACAAGTAGTCGCTCATTATATCAAAAAACTGCCATAAAAGTTTCGCCTTGATATTCAATTCTTCATGTGACGATGAGATACCTCTGACGCATAAGCTTTATCTATAAGTATCAATAAATCAGCTATGGAGTCCAAGTGGCGGCGTAACATTTTAGGAGTGAAATTTAACATTTTTTACGCTCTTTTCCGCTCCGTGGTAAGTTTTCCGAGAAAAAAACATTTACCGTAGTAAAACCTTTAAGATTTGAGCTATCGAATGACTGGCAATACTTCGGTGACAAGCCACATCGAATCGCCAAGCAAATGAAGCAAATTGAGTGCGAAACATAATTTTTTTCGCCATAACAACGTAATAAAAAGTCGTCCTCAAAAATCAGACATATGTTTGAAATTACAGAGATTTGTGCTTTTGAATGAATGAAATTACCAAATTCCCATGAAAAGGCTTGTGCCTAGCGAGAAAGGGCTCCAAACATTCGTGTACCTCAGCTGGTACACATCGTCCCTTAGGTTTGATGCAGTAGAGCAGCGGGCTGATACTACAACCACGTCAACAAATCTGCCCATCAGTCACAAGACGCTTGAACGAATTCTTCTGAAAGTCAATCGGCACTCCCAACGTCTAGCCGGTTTGCGCAGCTCAGATTTTCGAAACACCTTCGTGATCCAGATTACATCGATAGCGAGCGACAGATGGGCCGGTCGCATAGTACGAAGAAAACAGATCTATAGCAATGACTGTTTTTAAAACCTCGCAATAAACATTCAATATAATTTGAAGAATATTTGAAGCTTCACCCGAGGTTGGTACGCCAGCGCCATACACACGTGTTTTGGGGGTGTCGCCCCCTCGTCAGTGGGCCACGTTCCACAAGAAGTCCTACCTCGCAGCAAGGCTCAAAACCGGCCCTTTGAGGAAGTGCATATGAATGATCGGAGATTATTTCTAGGCTTCACTTCGTCTTGCTCTTCTTCCGCTTGATATTAGCTTACCCATCATTCTGTCATCTACACTATTTGTAATCCACCTTTATAGCCTATTGATATTGTTGCAGTGTTATTATAAAGATAAACGGCATTCCAAGACATGGAGTTCGGTACATAAGTATCTAATAAAAGTCCCGCATGAACTAAACTACTCAGTATAACCACTGAACAGCCTACAGACGGCAACTGCGCAAGAGAGAGATGAACAGGAACTATGCTGCGGCTCGCACTACTAGTGAAGATGAGCCGTCCAAGTATCCAAGCATCCAAATAAAGCATCAAAAAAGCAATACTGGGAAGAAGAGGTTCTGCTATTGATTACCATTTACAAGAATTTAAATGTCACACACAGAGTAGACCAATGTTCACTTTCGTGTTGGTGGTTTACGCATATATTAGAGCTCGTAGGGAAAAGAAGTCTAAGGAAAATCATTGTATTCAGTGGCGATGGCGATCCTATCAGTATATTTCCACTCTGATATTTGGTTTTGTGCTAATACAGAGATTACTTGTAGATAATACGTCTATAGAATATAGTGATATTCAGAGCTTTCAGTGGCAATGGGGAACTTTCCCGCACATTTTTACAATATTTGATTTTATACATACATTAGGAATTTGCTGTAGGGGGCCCCACCTTAGAAATCATGATATTCACTGCTGATGGATACCTTTCCCGAATATTTCCACTCGGATACATGGCTTCATGAATACAAAAGAGCTTAACTGCAGAGAATCACGTATAAAATAATCACGACAGTCAGTACCAATGGGGATTTTTTCCATACATTCTCACTCACATATTTATCTAAGCAGAGTGTATTATATATTTGAGCTCTTATGTGTGAATACAACCGATTAATTGATTGAAAATATACGGAATGTTTTTTTGTTTTTTGTGGGGAAGTGATTTCCTACAAAAATGATCTAACATGCGCACGGAATCTAATATGAGATCAAAAATGCATGGCACAGTTCCCAGTGGCACTAAATATCACAGATTTGTGCAAGTGTGCTATACTTCCAATCGGCTATGTTGAGACCTTGCTTAAGAGTTCAAATAACTTGATAGATGAAGTCTTTCAGAAGTTCGGTGTGGCATCACCAATTATAAACGTACGTTTCGGCGTTCTCGCACGCCTCATCAGTATCACATGCCCTTCGCTTCACCCCGACAACTTGACGCACTTGACGTGGAGTGATACATCTTCGGCGTCGCTACCACTAGTTGTGGGGGTAAACTGAAAGACATGCGGTACTGATGAGGCGCGTGAGAACACCAAAACCTAGGTCTAGTGCTAAAGATGCTTACCAGACCTCTGAAAGACTTCGTCTATCAAGCTATATTAAACTCCTGAGCGAGGTCTTGACTTATAACGCATTTTAAACTAATACTTCGAAATTATAGTATTTTCACTGCTTATTTCGCAGTGTTATTAAGTTCTTATATAACTAAGAGAATTGAGTGGTGAACAAAAACAGAAGCAGTGAAGATAAAGCAGTGAAAATACTATAATTTCGAAGTATTAGTAATTAGAATAGCTATCAGCTCAACTGGGTTTATAAAGCGAAATCGCATACCCGACCAAACCTGTCAAAGGTTGGTGGCTGATAGCTAACATTGAGATGTTGAAGAATGAGTGGTCGAGCAAATGTGCCTCAGTGGTGTAGTGGTAGAGCACGCGTCCCCGGATAGGATGAAACGTGGGTTCGATTCCCGCCTGAGGCCGTGTTTTTGTTCACCACTCAATTCTCTTAGTTATATAAGAGCATTTTAAACATTTCATGAAATCTGTTATGGCACCTATAGTGTGCTAGATATGTGTTTCGGCCTTTCAGCCTCATCAGTAGCACGGTGCCTCTCGTTTGAGCCAACCCCTATACATATAAATGAATTGAACGACGATAATGTTACATCACACGTGTGTTGAGTGGTAAGTTCACCACGATTGTTCTTGGTTAGTAGACTTGATAAAACATTTAGATTCGAGTGTTTTTTAAAACCTTACTTAAAACAATTAACCTAGCAACATATTTCTTCCTATAGTTTATATACTTACCGCGTAAGCCATAATCATGATTTGACTAATTGGAATACTCAAAGGTATCAGGATCTCCACATTACTCTTCTTCTAATGTCGCCAAGACTGGCTATTGTTCGAGATATTTGTGATCAGTGAGAATTTGATCAAACAACACTTCATTTTGCTTCTGATGCTTGATTTCTAATCGAACTTCCTACTAGGTAAACTTTGCCGGTGACGTGCTCTAAAAGCGCTCGGCTCCAACGCAGACTTGAACCATGAAACCTCACGGTTAACAACCGAACGCGCTGCCCACTACGCCATGGAAGTTTGCGTATTTTCAGCAATACCATTTGTTACATCTCTCGCGTAAGCTGTACTCATTTTATTGATTAAAATTGTTCAAGTACAGGAACCCCTCGCATTGACTTATGATGCTGACAAGATCCAAACCTGCGAAGCAATTCTGATCGATGGAGACTTAATCAAACAAAATTCTATCCCTCACTCGAGCACGTTCTATTTCTAAACATCACGAGCTTTCTGCCAATGAAACTTCGCCGATGATATGCTCCAAAAACGTCTCGCTCCCGGGTGGGCTCGAACCACCAACCTTTCGGTTAACAGCCGAACGCGCTGCCTATTGCGCCACGGAAGCTTGTACGTGTCGGTCCCTGTTATTTTATACACTTCATACATTTTCTTGCGCAACCAGTAATCGTGTCGTTGACTTAAATCGCTTACGAGCGTCAGAACACTTACATCATCACTTCTTCTAATGTTAACAAAACTCAACGGCATCCGAAGCATTCCTGATCTGATAATTATTTGTGAGTCATGCGTGGGTTACTATGGCCACTTACACAGTGCAATACGCGTGTTTTTGGCCTTGCAGCCTCTTCACTTACACGGTTTTTTTCGTTTTTAGCTAATCCCTCTTTGGGGAGAATCCCCTTACATAGAGGAATCGCAGACGTACTATTTACACACGCCGTTAAGTGATACAATCACCAAACGGGCAGTGTCAACAAGTCAACAATGTGACACCTACCATTTGACAAATTGACATGTCGACGAAGTAGAATTGCTATCTGACCCAGCCGTATCTAATAAGTCTCAGCTAACTCACCATACCTTATCAAAAGTATGTCACGCAGCTTTTGACCCGCTGAACCAACCCACTGATCCACCGTATCGTACCAAAAATATGTCAAGCGCCGTTAGCCCACGAAACCTGTCTACATCAAACCCAACCGACGTCTCGTAGCATACCACAAACAGTACATCACGGTCATTCAAAGGGTTTGAAAAGAAAGACAGATAAAAGTGGAGGCAATCGTCATCAGCGAAGTCGTCTTCGTCGTCTTTCCACTTGATCGGTATACATTTGTGTCAAGGATTTATTGCTTGGTAATTAGTTTATTATATGGCCGTATTACGCTGATGACATATCGTTATTATTGCGTCATTCTTCTAATAGCTGTATATTTTGGGTTGTTGTTATTTTTAAAAAATATTAGAACTTGCTTTTGTGCTATAAAGGAATTTTATAACTCCACGCTCGAGCAGAAGCATAAGTCCTATGTAGCAGATTCTCAACACTCCACTAAATCGGAGTGGAGTTCAAACTAATACGGCATTGAAGCCTCCGTAATCAATTTTCATTTACATGTAGTGTGTTGCACACAGCAGGAAAACATCACCAAAGACAGAGTTGCCAAGAACAATTGACTCGAATCGACTACCCGTTTAGTAATTCTTATCACTTAACGGCGCGTGTAAATAGTACGTCTGCGCTTCCTCTTTGTAAGGTGGTTCTCCCACAAGAGAAATTTGATAAAGACGAAAGGCACAGTGCAGCTGACGAGGCTGCAGGGCGAAACACGTGTATTACACTGTATAGGTGCTCATATCAGGCCACATGCATGAATCGAAAGTAATTATCAGGCATACTGAAATTTGAACGCGGTTCAAGAAAACACACTCGAAAAGAATGGTCCAGTGTGACATTCTTGATCGAAAAAGACTAATCGTATTGCATTTGTCTTGCTCCTGAAACACTTGCTACTCTTAAACACAAACTTTCTACCACTGGAACAGCGCCGATAACATGCTCGAAGGGCTTGTCGTTTCCGTGTAGAGCTTGAACCACCAACTTTTCGGTTGTAAGCCAAATGCGCTACCTTTTGCGCCACGGAAACCTGCAGACTCCCTGACGTTGTAGTTTTATGCATATAATATTCGTTCTCGCACAACTGTTTGATTAAAAATCACTCAACAGTGTCGGAATACGCTGCAAGAGCACGTGCGCCGTATGTTGACAAGTCTTGACCTTCAAAGGGCGTGGATCGAGATAACTTTTTTCCTCCCCTTCAATGCATTTTCTATTCCTAAACATCATGAACATGCTACAGGTGCACCCCACGGTTGACATGCTTCAAAAGGAATCCCCTCCATGCTGGCTCGAAGCACTGAAATCCTCTTGGAAAGCCCACTGCGCCGCCTTCTGCTACCACGCGACAAGAACCTACAGAGAACTGGCTTCTATTTTCAATCGTTCGACTACACCTCTCCGAAAGTAGCCACATTACAAAATGACTACAAAAACGAGTATTCTCGTGTCTTATACAGGAAAAGTGCGCTTGTCCGAGACATATACTGAGCAACGAGAAGTGTTTGCAACGGAGAGAGAAAGATTGGAAGTCACTACACTTGGTCACGACAAGTAGTCCATTCTTAAATGGCGATAAAGGGAAGACCACTAAATTCAGATCAAAACGGGGCGATAGGCTTCGTAACATAAATAACGGAAACAATGTTGTTCCAGACCTAGACGGAGGGATACCTTCAAAAGTACCTTCAATGGTGAATAAAGTATGCGCCGCAATCAAGAGCTGCCCCTGTAGAGATTCCACCCAACATGTACGTAGTTGATTAGTTCGGACCCTTATATCACGTCAATAAAGACAGAGAAGTTGGTAATATGTCCTAATGGTAGGGACAGGGGACTGTACGACGTTTCATAAATTTTGGCCCTAGAGCAATGAACACCAAATCTATAAACCAGTAGTACTTAAAATTGAATGATTTCAGTATCGTTCAATTACGCATGTTCTAGCGGGACACTGTGGTATACAACTTGCCTCTTGCTCTAAGATAGAGCTGTCATGGGAACAAGTTGCTACTCATGAACGCGTGCGGGAAAATGTAGTGAAGCGGCGCGCAGAGATTAGAAGACCTTGGGGCGACGATACGGTTGCAGAACAGAAGGCTAGGAAGTGGCTCGCGAAAATCAAAGCTGGAGAGAACAGTTTGGAGAATCGTCGCACTCGGACCGTCCACAGGAAGCACCATTAATCTTGAGCGCCGCTTCACTAGCACTTTCCTCTTACGTGCCATTAGTGCACGGAAAAGCAACGCGAATTTGTTCTTAAGGCATCTCCATCCCAGAGCAAGTATAGGCATTTTGTACAGCAAAATGTCCTCAAGAAAATGCGCAATTGAAGGATGGCCAAAGTCAAGCAATTTTCATACTTCTGGTTGATAAGTTTGGTTGTTCATTGCTCTAGGGTCAGAACTTATGGAGCGATCCAATAATACCACGTTTCTTGTACGTCATGTCGGGCAAGACCTCTATGGATTCACATCAAAGAACACCTGGCGAGGAAAGTGGAAAAATTAAATGCTTTCTAGGCGCTGATGAGCCAAAAAAGCACAATTGTAGCGACTTAGAGGTTACAGCTAGAATTCCGGCGAATGAGTGAGAATGTCGGCGCGAAGAGCCCGAGAGGCTTTCTGGATAAATTCTTAGAGTCTAGAGGGGCAGTACGACGTGGGAGACTGCCTCTGAACACTAGATTTGGCTGGGCACCTTATCTCAGACTGGTTTTCTAGCCTGATTAGCGGTCCTGCCACCATCACACATCAGCTGAGACCTTTGTTCCATTTGATCTGCCGACTGGAGGGAGGGGAGGGGAAGATCAAACGTCAAACCTGACGAAGAACATAGGTGGACTTAAACACTGATAAAACGGTAGGTGGTCTCTTTTTTTAGTAGTGATTATTAACCTGCCATAGATTTCCAGTAATACTGTAAGCAACTAGCAAACTGATGCGAATAGCCTATAATGTAGAAAAGTGCGCAGAACTTTGAACGCCTGACGGGACTCAAACCCGAATGTCATCGCTTTCGGGGGTGCGTGTTCCCGATAGTGCAGAGGTTAGCACGGCCCCCGGAAACGGTGCGAGGACGGGTTTGACTCCCGTCCGATGCCCAAAGTTTAACGCATTACTCACAACACCTCTTTTTATTAGCACTTTATTTGATCCGTCATCATAGCATTTCATCACTGTGCTCCCCGTACTCCTAGCACTTGATTCGTTTTTCGTCTTCTTCTCGAACGGCGTAGATACAGGTTGAGAGAGTCTCCTTGCAATCTCGTGGATAGCCTGTCTGCGGCGTGCCATAGGGCGTTGTTATTGACTGCCGAAGAGAGTTGGGGGATTGTGCTCGGCTCCACCCGCTCACGTGACGAGCATCCACAACACTTGGCCATAGCACACCTCGCTTAACACCATAGGACATGTACTTATGACATCATTTCATCGCAAAAAGAGGTTAGCAAGAGCAATTCGAGTTGAATGCGAGTCGCCGAACCCCAGCCACCGAATTCTGATGGCTTCCCATAGAAGAGGACGGCTGGGAAGGCACCTTGACGTAAATCAGATAGGTTGTTCTGCAACTGCAACACTATGTAATCGACGAGCAATTGCGTCGAGTAATATCCGTATGCAAGTACTCGTTCAAGGGATGCTTTGCCACCACGAGTTCTCCAGAAATCCTTAAGGAACTCGACTCATCAGAGACATCTATTCGAGGATTAAGGGGCCTGATAATGCTGTGATTACTTGCTTCTCGTGGTTGATCGATCGGCTGTTCATTGGCTAATCAACGAATGCTACGAAGACTCGCCGCCTCATCGACTTCACTCTGGAGCGCCAAAAAATCCTCATTCATTGGAATACTTGAAGTAAGATCTTTTCTATAGAGTTTTTTTTCAATTGTTTGTTCTGTCAAAGATGAAACGCAACTGGTTTTTTCCCGATTAAGAGAAGACAAATGAAATTGTTTCTGTTTAACCGCTTTTTTGCGGTACTATGATGTTATACATATATACCCAATGTTGTAGAGTGATGTACAAAAGTTTCGCGTCAGGCGGGACTAGAACCCGCACCTCACTTTTTCTGGGAATGCGTGCACTATCCGTTACACTACTGACGCCCATTTTACACATCGCTCTTTCTACGCTAAAAATGTGCAAAATGGGGCGTCAATAGTGTAACGGATAGAGCACGCATTCCTGGAAAAAGTGAGGCACGGGTTCGAGTCCCGCCTGACGCGAAACTTTTGCACATCACTTTATAACATTGGGTATAGAAAGAGGGGCAAATGAAGAAGCGATCTTATCCGCCTGTAGAGGAACTTTTCTTAGGAGTGTTAGTAACCATTCGAAAATTAAGACTTCAGGCTACAGCCCCACGTCAACAGTTTTTCAAAACACCCTCTTATAACGTTGTTAGCATCCAGATCAAAACCTATGTTGCACACTCACCCTTCGCCTTCATATTTATCACGCGTACAATTTGCTTGAAGACGACAAGCGTATCAGTGTGTAGAAGAATTTTTGTAGTATCCTGGTCAATTGAATATCCGGGGTGTTTTTCGAAGCGGAAAAAAATTCCCGATTAAATAACAAAACATCGATCGTCCCGCCTCGCCGTGCCTCTGCCACGCTCTCTGCCACGGCCCCTCGCCTTGACGACTAACTTGTGAGCAACGTTACAAAAAAAATGCAAAACTCTATCTTATTTATCCAACCAAACCGTATTTCCCGAAAATAAGCACAGTCCTAGAATCAAGAAGCATTACCTTATCAGATGATTACTAATAGTCCAGAAAAAGAGCTCTGTCCAGCGAGGTTTAAAGCACAAATCAAAAGACCAGAGAAGACCAAAAATCAAAAGGTTTTTTAAGAAAGCAGTCACATTTTGAGTTTCTGGAGCTGTGTACTTTGGTTTGAGTGCTAACACTCTACGAAAGGAATTATATCCAGCGAATTATAAGCGATATAAGAGAAGAAAACATGTGGTTTTATGGGACATGATTTTATTTTGAATGTTACACCGTTACAAAGGGGTGTTTTGAGAAACTGGCGCACGTGGGGCTGTAGCGTCAAGTCTCAGCTTTCGAATGGTTGCTGATACTCCAATGAAATATTCTTCTTCAGCGAATGAGATCGATTTTTCATTTGTTCCCTTCTAATCAGAAAAAAACTCACCCTTTATTTGACTCGTAGCACGGTTTTTTTTCGTGCTCGCGGTACCAGTACCCCTAGCATTTCATCGTTTCCTCGCTTGCTTGAAGGATTCATCTTCTTTTCGAGCGTCGTAGAATGGTGGTCCAACATGTTTCCATGCAAACCCGCGGATAGCCAGGTTGTAGCATAAAGGCAGGGCTCTCGTTATCTATTGCCGGAGAGTGTTTGGAAGCTGTGGGATCAAGTCCGCATCGAGCTTCGCTGAGCATCATCAACCACTCGGCCAGCAGCTCCTCTTCCTCCTTAATTTGTCCTATCATTTGAAGGAAAAAGTATTTGCAACGTGCCTCTTTGGTGGAGATCCTCTAATCTTTTTTCACTTAGGTATTTACATGGAGTATTGGTGAAAAATGAAAAAGTAGTGGAGAGTAACGGAAAATTCTTGTCGAAGCACTTCGAGCTATCGCTGAAAATTTTGATTTGGGGCGATCAAAATGACAGCAGTGTGTTTGAGTGAGTGTTTCTTTTCAAGCTCGTTTTTCCTTCTTTTTTTCTGTTTTTTTGAAAACTTTTTTCCTACCATTTTTTACTCGCTTATGAATTTTTTGCTATCCATTGGAAAGAGTTCTCTTGCTTTCAGTCTTTTTCTCGAGCGGCAGATGCTTCCTATTTTCTACAGATTATGAAACAAGATGGTGGTTCATTGAATGTACAGCTCTTGCAAGACACTAAATATTCTATTCGAAAATATTCGTCATGAAACCTCTCTGTGTAGGCTTTTGATTTCCTTCTCCTTTTGGTAAATTTTATGGTTCAGTAGGTATTACACCAAGTCCTTGCAGACTTTCTTCTTAGCAATAATCATGTAAACTCAATAATTACGCACGATTTGACTTCAACAATGAAGAGATTATGGCCTACTATATTTCTTTCTTGAAAACGCTCTCGTTCAAACTGAATCCCTCGACTATCCACTTCTTTTTCAACGAGGTAAGTCCTCTTCTTCGCTTTTTTATCATATTTTCATGTTTTTTCTTGTTGCATATATGCATATATTTATTAGATCGTTCGATAAGACTAGGACTGAAGCAAGAAACACCAAAGTTATCAACCAGAAGTGATTAAAGCTGCATGGTTTTGGTATCGTTCAATTGGGCGCATTTTCTTGCGAGCATTTTGTGTACGCAACTTGCCTGATACTTGCTTCAAGATGGAGCTGTCATGGCATTGAAATCGCGTGCTATTCGTATATCTATGCCGAGTAGGGGATAATACTGATGAAGCGGCGCGCAAGTTGGATGGAGCTTGGGCGATGATACGATTGCAGAAAGAACGGCTAGGAGCTGGTTCGCGAAGTTCAAAGCTGAAGAGAACACTCTGGAGGATCAATCGCGCTCGAGCCGTCACAGAAGCCTTCATTAATCTGTTCTGCGCGCTTCACCTGACATTTTCTTCTACACGCCTTCTGTGCATGAATACCAAGCGAATGCTGATCCCATGACAGCTCCATCTTGAAGCAAGTATAGGCTAATTGTACACCAAAATGTTCGCAAGAAAATGCTCCAGTTGAGCGATATCAAGACCATGCAATTCTAAATAGCTGATAAGTAATAAGTCTGGTGTTTATTTCTCTACTCTGAAAACTTATGGAACGACCTAATATATATGACTGTGTAAGGTGTAGTGGCCACGCACATATATATATATATATATATATATATATATGCATACATGTACATCTATATGTTTATACACATGCATATGTATGTGTGTGTAACTGTATGGGCGTGCATATTTAGCTATAGCATCTATACAGCATATGTGTGTATACCTATATGTGCGTGCATATCTATCTATACATCTACACAGCTGCACTTTAGGCGACGGGACGAGTTTCCACTTCTAACTGAATCATTAAAATTCTTCGACTCAACAGAAAGTATGGTGCGTATTGCCGTCCGAAATATTGTGTTAAATATCGTTCGGGTTGACGATGTCTCCATGACGCGCTTTGTAAGAAACGCCAACAAAGGTTAGCCATTTTATTTTGAGTTGTCGCATAATTCTTTCGCACTATTGTTTTATTCTGTTTTTTTTTTTTCGATTTCAAATCGGGTTATTGTCATAAGGCCGTGATACGTTGGGGAATGTTCTAGTAGCTTCAGCCAGAGGGGTATAAAAGGGCATACACGCTGCGGGTTAATTGACTGAAAATCTAAGGGCTCAGTGTTTGATCAAAGCCCATCTGTTACGCTTGAAAGAGTTGTGCTCTCAGTTTGTTGAGGTAGTCTCGTCATGCTGCTTTGGGAACTGCTCGACAACAAGCATTGCCGTCGCAATACGGGGAGCAAATCCGTAAGTTGGTAGCAGCAGTGTGAGGGAAGCCTCCGGAACGACTCAGGGTCACCCTTCTCCAGCATAGCGCTCGATCTCGTAGTGTAACGTCGACTCGCCACATTTTGAGCAACTGGACGGAGCCGCGGTACCACATCCACCTTCTAGCTTTGATATTATTTCATCGGATTATCATGTCTTTTGCGCCCTGAAGCAGTATATGGGGAGAAGAAAAATCTAGAGACCACAACCAATTTGAAGATGATGCTCACCGACTTCTTTGATCGGCAGTCTCGCCATTTCTGAGAGGAAGGCATTCAGGCTTTGACCAGCAAGTGGAAGTGGAATACCAATGGTCATGATTGATCATATTGTGGATCAATAGATACTTTTGAATAAATAACAATCGAATTATCAACAGCGACAGACAACAGACAAATGCGACAGAAATTATGGGTCAACTTGAAATTTGTCATAGCACAAATAGCCAACTTTAAGCTTGGTTTGGTTCTTGTAATCGTTTCTGTTATCTAAACCATTCAGATATATCTACTTGAGTTGGTTGATAATCTGGGTAGCACAAGCGATCGAAGCTTGAACACTTTCATACGGTCTGCCGAAAATGTAATTGCCAACAGAGAAAGGTTACGAGACAAGGTAAGAACGTGAAGAGACAAAGGCTTGTCGATTTATTTGTGTAGTTTATGACGTCTTCAAAAGTTCTAGAAGAGCTTTGATAAATTGCGCAACATACTGCTGTTCGCTGCATCTTGTTTCCTTGTCGTCATTGTGTTCAATTATAGTAATGGGTTTGGTCAGAATGTACAATTGAAAGCAGAACTTCAGGTCGACGATCTCGTCGATATTCTCCATTACATTGGTGAACTGTTGGATGTTGCCATTGTAGCGGATCCCTTGTCAGATTTGCTTTCGAATCGTTTCCTGGTTCCAATTCTTCTCAACAGCCTTGCGCCGCGATTCGACAACCATGCGATTTTGCTCACTCCAGTGTCCAGCTTTTTTCTTCTTGGCTCAATTTTTGTTGCGTTCGTTTACCTTTGTTGTGAATTCTCGTGTATTTTAAGGTTTAGTTTTTTCTTGTATACAACGGGATTTTCAAAAGGAAAAAGTTACCTTTTATACTCAGGTTTTCTGTGTTACTAAAGATATGTACATACCCATATGTATGTAGGCACATATATTATATATATATATATATATATATATATATACGTGCATACATGCATACATATGCGCGTGTACACATGTGAATATATGAGTATATACATGCATGTATAGCGTATGTGTACAGATGCGTATAGTGCACGTATATATGTAGATGTATACATACATTTATACACGTATATATGTACTTACGCATTTACGTGTATATGCATATATATATATATATATACATATACATGAATATGTATATATACATGTGTATGTGTGTGCATTTGAAGGTGATTTCTCATCGTAGCACAGTACAAACATTCCTGTCGGCATTTCTTTTCGAAGATGTTCGGCTTCTGACGTCGCAGTGGGTTCGCAATGGTGATGTTTATAGCTTACAACACATCAAGCGACCATTGAGAAATGGTGAAAGGTTGGTAGTGAGCAAGCAGTTCTATTCTTCATTCTTGGCAAAATGGACGTCTCCCTTCATTATTTGACTGTTTACCAGTCTATTCGTAGTAATTGTCAAGATTAGGGTCTTTTACGAAGCACTATTATGTGCGTTTGATTCGAG